TGAGTAGTTAAGAGAAGAAAACAAAGAAAGAAACACAGTCTTCATTTGACATGTTATTTTGAAGGTAATATACAAATCCACTTTTTAGAAATGCTAATAAAATTTCAACTAACATCACTTATGAAATATTTGTTAGATTTTTATTATTAGAAATATAACTTTAGTTGAAATTTCTCCCAGATATGCTAACAAAGTGACTACATGAAAGAACTAATAGGGCTTCCCTGGTGGCGCAGTGGTTGAGAGTCCGCCTGCCGATGCAGGGGACGCGGGTTCATGCCCCGGTCCAGGAAGATCCCACATGCTGCGGAGCGGCTGGGCCCGCGAGCCATGGCCGCTGAGCCTGCGCATCCGGAGCCTGTGCTCCGCAACGGGAAAGGCCACAACAGTGAGAGGCCCGCGTACCGCAAAAAAAAAAAAAGAAAAGAAAGAACTAATGATCTATCCTTAATATGTCCTAAATAATTTTGTTTTTCTAATTTAGGGTGCAGCTTTAAAGTGGAGTTACCTGTTGAATAAATAACCGCAAATGATGGTTGTTTAGCAATTGGCAATTCATATTGATTATCTCATTGATATTATCACAACATTGTGAGATAGGTACTATTAACTTAGGCCAATAGGCACTTAGGCTCACAGAGTTCATGTGATTTACCCAAGGAACACCAGTAGGCAATGATAATGTCAAGATTCAAACCTGAGTCTTCTAAGTCATCCTTGATATCCAACTACTTCACAACTATGAATGCACCAAAATTAGAAGAGAAAAATCAACTCAGCTGCACCCTTTACAGTTACAGGACAAAATTTATCTTTTTTGCCATAATGACAAAAAGTCTCTGAAGTACAGATCTAGTATGATGAATAAAGAAAATTCAAAGAGAATACATGTTCCACTTCATTAAGCATCAGAATTACGAGTAATGCACACAATGGGTACATTTAAAGACTTTCTTCTCTACTTAGACAGATGTCTCAAAGAAAGCAAAATCGTTAAAAGGAAGGCAGCAGAAAAGGAGAGAAATTAGAAAGAATCATTACTCCCACAAGCAACAAAATTTCATCATGAAACAAAATAATTCTAAAAGATGAACCAAAGATACTTCCTGAATTTGGGAGTATCAACATCAAGAACAACACTAGAGACAAAAGCATGAATTATATACTTGTTAGACTATTATTATACTTCATACTGTTATGGGCTATGGGGAGGGAGGAGGGAAATAGGGTTGATAACATATATAAGGATGATCTTAAGAGTTCACAATCTAGAGGAAAAATATAGCAGATGTGAAGGAAGATTCAGAGAACCACTCACTGCCATTTCTCTACCAAGGACTTTCAGTGCCACAATTCAGAGAATGAAGCAATTCAGAACAATTCGGATAGGTGGAAAAGAGAAGGAGAACTAAGGTAGGGGAACAAGATAAGGCAGGGCCTCAGAGGATGGGAAAGTACACATTATTATAGGGGAGTAAAAGAAAATCAACCAGACTAGTAAGTAGGTGGAATATTGGGGTAACTGGAGAAAAAATACAGAGCTAAGCCTGAAAGTAAGGCAAGAATTTGGACTTGAATAATAACTAGGAAGAAAGCACTATAAGTTCTGAAACAGGAGAATAGCATGATAATGTTGAATTTTAATGAGGCTGCATATTATTTATAACAGAATATGTATAAAATGCATAAAATGGAAGAGAGAACTTGCAGAAAGACCAATTTTGAAAACCTTAACAACAATCCATGTATAAGGTAATATGAGCCATGGCACTAAGAACAGAAAAGGTAAATCCAAGGGTCATTTTGAAAGAAAAATTATAGGATTTTGTGAGAAACAAGAAAAAAAGTCAAAATAGAGAAGGATCAAAAATTATTTCCAAGTTTCTAGCTCAGGAAACTAATTAACAAGATTAGCACAGATCAAAAGAAACAAGATAGCTGAAAAGATATAAATCAATACTCTGAGTAAAAGGGAGATTTTTTCATGAATATTACATGTATTTAAGTATGAGATCAAAAAGTAAATCTTTCATTTTCCAATATTCTACAAAGTCTTCGAGATATTGGATGAATAGCATTTTTTCTGGTTCAAAATACATAAAACTTAAATCATCAGAAGAGTTCTCAGTTTCACTTCCAAAGAAAGCCTGACATGACACATAAAGACATCTGATGAGGCTTTTCTATTATCCTAAGTAGTTCTGGAAAAAATTAGCTTAAAAAGGTAATGAAACTGAAATTTTTGAATAAAAATTGAGATTTTATTATATTCATAATAAAAGTTTCCACCTACTCCATTTAGTCATCAAAACTGTGATTTTAAATACAGAAACACCTACAATGACACTTCTTAGTTATTCCATCTTCTCATAAGAGCAAGAAACTGTCAGCTGACGAAAAGGAAAAGCAATATCCATGGCTAACGAACCAGTTACAGGAAGAAGCATGAAATGAAAATGCAAGTAAAGCATTACTGGTAAACTCTTTTCTCACCTTTGCAGAATTATCTTAAAGATCTGCCTATGATAGAGCCACTCAAAAAGTTGAGGTAAATAATGAGACAAAGTGTTATACATGTTGAAAGAAAACACATACAAGGTTTGTCTTATAAATCTGATATTAAATTTAAAATGTTTACTGACCTGTAATTTTTCTTCCTCATACTCTGTGTGTTTTTGGAATCAAGGTTATACTAGCCTTGTACAATGAGTTGGAAGAAATAATTCCACTTTTTCTGTCCTCTGAAAGAATTTGTGGAAGATTAGAATTATCTATGCCTTGAATGTTTGGCTAAACTCATTTTTGAAACTGTACCAAGTGTTTTCCTAGCAGGAAGATTTTTACTTACTGACCAATTTCTTTAAGTATTACAGGACTGGGCTTCCCTGGTGGCACAATGGTTAAGAATCTGCCTGCCAGTGCAGGGGACACAGGTTTGAGCCCTAGTCCAGGAAGATCCCACATGCCGTGGAGCAACTAAGCCCGTGCGCCACAACTACTGAGCCTGCGCTCAAGAGCCCGCGAGCCACAACTACTGAGCCCACGAGCCACAAGTACTGAGCCCATGTGCTGCAACTACTGAAGCCCGCGTGCCTAGAGTCCATGCTCCACAACAAAAGAAGCCACTGCAATGAGAAGCCCACACAGCGCAATGAAGGGTAACCCCCGCTCGCCACAACCAGATAAAAGGCAGCACGCAGCAACGAAGACCCAACACAGCCAAAAAAAAATTAATTAAAAAAAGAATTACAGGACTATTCAGGTTTTCTATTCTTTTTTCAATCAATTTGGTCTTTTACACATTTCAAGATTCACGTGCATGTTAAAATTTGAGGAACACTACCTCAGACCACTAAATTCCTATCAACGCCCAAATTATGTGCTATTTTTGTCCAATATTTCAATTTTATTTTTTTAACCCCACAAATTAGACATTTCGACTATGGTTTTACACAGTCAATATTGTTTAGATCTTCTTTATTCACCAACACTTTTTTCATCCTAGAATCTCTCCTGAGATCACTTTCCTTCTCCCTGAAATTATATCCTTTAGAAATTCTTTTAGTGAGGATGTACTGGTGGAAAACACACTAGCTTTTGTGTGTCTGAAAATGTCTATTTTGCCCTCACTTTTGGAAAACAGTTTTGCTGGGTTTGCAATTCTAAATTGACAGTTATTTTTTCTGGGCATTTTGTAGATATTCTTCCACTCTCCTATGGCATTCATGCTTGCTGTTGAAAAATCATTTGTTAATCTACTCATTATTCCTCTATAAATATGCCTTTTCTCTCTGGTTGCTTTTAGGGTATTTCTCTGTCTCTGATGTTCATCAGTTTCTCTGATGTATCTAGGTAATAATTTCTTTATACTTGTCTGCTTGGGATTTTCTGTCTCCTAGATCTGCAAATTTATATGCTTAATCAATCCTAGAAAATTCTCAGCTATTATCTCTTTGGATAGGACTTCTCCCCACTCTACTGGCTCTTTCTGGTATTCTGATTAGACAAATTTATATGCTGACAAGACCAGCCACATAATTGGCAGGCTCAGTGCAAAATGAAAATGTGGGGTGCCTTGTTCATGAATTATTTAGAATTTCAGAACAGTGAAAGCAGAGCATTAAACCAAACATGAGGCTCTTCTAGTGCAGGGATCTCTGCACCTGCACAAGTCATATGCCCACGAGTTCCTGACTTCAGAGCAGCGAGAACAGTGATAGCAAAAATTGAGAAGGCACAAGGAAGTATAAAGCAGAATATCAAGATCATCTAACATCTCACCACCCAGGGACAGCCACACAGTTATCATTTTGGTGCACAGGTCAGAGATTTTTCTATATATTTACATGTAGACATTTATTCACACAATTTTTATACTATGGAAATGGTATATTGTACATTCTCTTCTATAGTCTTTTCTCAAATTTATTACATTATGGAGATCTTTTAAAAATGTTAGTAAATACAGATCATCTCAATCCTATTGTACAGATAACAGAACATATAGATGCATGTTCATTTAACCAAATTCATGCCATTAGGTTTCCAAAGAGTCTTGAATTTTTCATTATTAAAAATGATAAGCATGGACTATCAATAAAGTTGAGTGAGGACTGACTGAATCAATCAGTATAAAGCACTTCACAGAGTACTTGGCAAGTAACAAGCTCTCCATAAATGTTAGTGGTTTTTTAAAAATATTGTGTCCTGTGTAAAAACTGAATTAATTTACATTCCCAACAGCAGAGTAAGAGAGATTGGTTTTTCTTGATCCTTACCAATTCCTTTAAATTTTGCCTTTTGTATTTCTTTACCAATTCCTTTAAATTTTGCCTTTTGTATTTCTTCTATGAATGCTTTGTTCACATTCTTAGTTCTCCTATTGGATTCCTTATGCTTTTTAAAGATTAACTGATTTCTGTATTGGGGATATCAATCCTTTGTCATAAGGATATCAAGTACTTTTTTTTCCTTAAAAAAAAAAAAGAATTAAGACTTACCTCCAGTTCCTAGGACCTTTAGGAGCTCGAAATTTTCAATCCCCACCTTCTCTGCATGTCCTGTTAAATTAGCTAAAAAAGAAAGAGAAAAAATAAATAATTAAGGGGATCAGCAATAGGAGGGGGCCCACAGGGGCTTCTGAGGTACCAGCAGTGTTTTATTTCTTGAGTTGGGTGGTTAAACCAGGATTCACTTTATAATTATTCGTTAAAATGTACAGCTATGTTCTGTGTAATTTTCTGTATGTTACATATTATGATAAAACGTTTATTTAAATTTTTTTTTTAATTACTGATTTGTTTTTGTGGGGTTTTTTAAAAAAACTTTTTTGGGGGGGGCTGCACCAGGTCTTAGTTGCAGCACATGGGATCTTCGTTGCAGCATGTGGACTCTTAGTTGTGGCATGCAGACTTCTTTAGTTGCAGCATGTGAACTCTTAGTTGCGGCATGCATGCGGGATCTCGTTCCCTGACCAGGGATGGAACCCGAGCCCCCTGCAGTGGCAGCGCAGAGTCTTACCCACTGGGCCACCAGGGAAGTCCCACAATAAAACTTTTTTTAGAATTTAGTAACTATATAACATTTGTACCAAAGCTTAACATAAAAATAAAGTGCTCTACTTTATTAAAATAAAGACTCTCTAAAAGTCTAAAAGTCAAAAGTCTTTAAAAATAAAGACTCTCGGGGCTTCCCTGGTGGCACAGTGGTTGAGAGTCCGCCTGCCGATGCAGGGGACACGGGTTCGTGCCCCAGTCCGGGAAGATCCCACATGCCACGGAGCGGCTGAGGCCATAACAGTGAGAGGCCCGCGTACCGCAAATAAATAAGTAAATAAATAAATAAATAAATAAAGACTCTCTACTGACCAGATAATCTGAAAATGAACACAAATTCTAACATGTAGATAGATATGTAGTAGAAAGAAAATTGGACAGATTTAGAAGACGCATTCATTTATTCAAACAAATATTTACTGATTATAAATGCCATTCCCAGGCTCTAGGCTGGACTCCACTCCCATTTCTGTCACCAAGCACTTGAACATGATGTAGCCTGAACTGATTACCTGACCACCCTGCATCTCAGTTCCCTCATCTTTGAGGTGAAAGCACTGGTCTCAGTGAATTCTAAGATCTCTGCCAGCTCTAAAATTCTAGGACTATGTTTAAAAATATAAACTCTTCAAAGACATATTCTGTAGTAAATAAACAAAATTAGGATACCTTATAAATGAGCATCTTCCAGAGCATACTCCAATGAATTCTGATCCTATCCTATGAAATGTTAATAGGCGTTATGTTTGGGGGGAAGGTGGGGAAAGAGTGCTCTGGTTGAATAAATTTGGAAATAGCTTAAACAAGGTTTAACAAGTTTCTTTAACACTGAACCTCACAGATCCTGCACCATAAAAATATGCATGTGGATCTTCCAGATTGCGATAATTATATTTGACAAATTTATTGGACCACAAATTACTTTTTATGGTAATAACCTATTCATATTGTGTGAACCAGCATTCTGTGATAAGAAAGACATGATTAAGAGAGGCTTGGTCCAAATCCTAGTTCTACCACTTAAAAGCTCTGTGACCTTGAACAAATTACTTAATTTCTCTGTGTTTCATATCCCCGTAGTGTAAAATGGGGATAATAAAAATTCCTACCCTCAAAGCATATTGGTGTCTACAATTTACTTTGAAATGTATTTTTATTGGGTTGGCCGAGAGGTTTGTTCGTTTTTTTCCGCAAGATGGCTCTAGTAGCACTTAGTTGTCTTTAACTTCATTCAAAACAGTTTTGTTAGATTGTATGTGACAGCTGTCATATCAGCATGCATTTAAAAAAAGACATTAAAATTGGTGAATTTTTGTGTAGCCATTTTAATATTAAAGATGGAAGAAAAAAGCAACATTTTCAGCATATTATGCTTTATTATTTCAAGAAAGGTAAAAACGCAACTGAAACACAAAAAAAAGATTTGTGCAGTGTATGGAAAAGGTGCTGTGAATGGTCAAACGTGTCAAAAGTTGTTTGTGAAGTTTCGTGCTGGAGATTTCTCATTGGATGATGCTCCACGGTTGGGTAGACCAGTTGAAATTGGTAAGGATCAAATTGAGACATTGACTGAGAACAGTCAACATTATAGCACGTGGGAGACAGCCAACACACTCAAAATATCCAAATTGAGTGCTGAAAATCATTTGCACCAGCTTGGTTATATTCATCGCTTTGATGTTTGGGTTCCACATAAGTTAAGTGAAAAAAACCTTCTTGACCGTATTTCCGCATGTGATTCTCTACTTAAATGTAATGAAAACGTTCCGTTTTTAAAACAATTGTGATGGGCAATGAAAAGTGGATACTGTATAATAATGTGGAACGGAAGAGATCGTGGGGCAAGCGAAATGAACCACCACAAACCACACCAAAGGCTGGTCTTCATCCAAAGAAGGTGATGTTGTGTATATGGTGGGATTGGAAGGGAGTCCTCTATTATGAGCTCCTTTCAGAAAACCAAAGGATTAATTCCAACAAGTACTGCCTCCAATTAGGCCAACTGAAAGTGGCACTCGACAAAAAGCGTCCAGAATTAGTCAACAGAAAATGCATAATCTTCCATCAGGATAATGCAAGACCACGTGTTTCCTTGATGACCAGGCAAAAACTGTTACAGCTTGGCTGGGAGGTTCTGATTCATCCACAGTATTCACCAGGCATTGCACCTTCGGATTTCCATTTATTTTGGTCTTTACAAAATTCTCTCAATGGGAAAAATTTCAATTCCCTGGAAGACTGTAAAAAGCATCTGGAACAGTTCCTTGCTCAAAAAGATAAAAAGTTTTGGGAAGATGGAATTATGAAGTTGCCTGAAAAATGGCAGAAGGTAGTGGAACAAGAGGGTGAATACGCTTTTACACCAATAAAGTTCTTGGCGAAAATGAAAAATGTGTCTTTTATTTTTGCTTAAAAACTGAAGGCATTTTTTGGCCAACCAAATAAAAGGATGGATTGATGGACACATATAGATATGGACAGATATGTGATAAAGAAAATACAACAAAATGTTAACTGCAGAATCTGGATAGTGAGTGTAAGGATATTCAGCATACAACTCTTTCAAATTCTCTGTATTACATTTGAAAATGTTCATAATAAAATGGCACATAATAAAATAATACCTACCTCATTGGGTTGTGATGAGGATTGTATGAGCTTAATTCACACAGTGTTTGCTGTGTTCCAATAATATTATTAGTGTTTGTAAATAAATTAATGCTTTGGGACTACAATTTTATGAAAATTAGACCCAACTAAGAACTTCTAAAATTAAAAGTTTCAGGGGGATAAGTAATTTCAGTGTCTTTCTGATTTAACTAAACATAACTTTAAAAAATATTTTTAATTGTGGTTAAAAACACATAACACAAAATTTACCATATTAACCATTTTTAAGCATCAATACAGTAGTGTTAACTATAGGTACATTGTTTACAACAGATCTCTAGAATTTTTTCACCTTGCAAAACAAACTCCATTGAACCATTCCTCTTTTCCCTCTCTTCCAAGCTCCTGGGAACCACCATTCTACTTTCAGTTCCTAAGAGTTTGACTATTCATGCATAATTTCATAGTGGGAACAAATCAGTGTACATGGCCCTGCCTCAAGCTCACACTGGCTTCAATATAAATCTAAAACGAATACCAAAAACATAGGTAGTATCTTAAAGTAAACACACAACAGCATATCCTCCTGTAGTATGTCAAGCAGGCTATAGTAAAAGTGAAGCTCACAGGAAACCATCACTTTTGAAATAATGATTTGGCTCTAATTGAATGTTAAATTCTGTTCTTTTACTGTGCAAGATTTTTGCAGTTTAAGACATTATTGAAGAGTCAAATGTTACAAATTATCAATCCTGTTTCTCGCTGTTAGGAGCCATCTTTTATCTACTGTGAGATGTGTATAGGCCCAGCTTTCCAAAAGCATTGTCCAAATACTATTTCTCCCGTATCTATATTTGCAGCTGGACTAGGAAGACAAGGAACTATCTTTTGATACACAGACACTTCAGCCTTTCTACACTAACCACAGAATTATTCTCATAGGAAATTAAAAGAGGCCACAGATTAATTACACTTGGTTCTACAAAGCATACCATCCCGGAAAGCCTGATCATTCACAAAGATTGTTCATATAATCTGTGAAGGCCTGCTTTTGTTCATAATCTACTAGCTCTATTATTTGGTTTCTGACATAAATTAACACTTTGTCTGCAAAGGGAGCTCAAGGCTTCCCCAACCTCCAATCCTGGGGAGAAGGAATTGACAGAGCTCAAGATGAACAGCACTGATGCCTTCGGTATTTGGGGAAGGAGTCGTCACAGTGGTAAATGTTTCCCCAGGAGGAGGAGGTTAGCTCTGCTTTCTTCAAGGTATGTACTCTTTGGAATCTCCTCTCTTGGCCTTAGCTGTGGACGAGTTTATTTACTCTTTGTATTGCTTTTCTATCAAGATTGTTACCAGGTGGCTGGTGAGTTAAGGTAGAGCTTGGGAGAGGGTCTTCCCTCCCTCATACCTTAAGCCCCAGGTCCTAGGAATTCTGGGCTTGAAAAGAGTTTAGCCCTAGGCTTATAAAAACACACTTTATCCACCTCGAGTTTCTCCGAGAATTTATCTTTCCTGGCCTTTCCTTGATTAAGAATGGTTAGATTCCAGTGAACAAGCTTAGAGAGTAGTATCTGCTTAGGGCAAAGGGCCCCTGTGGCCCAGTGCAGCTCACCAGGTCAATGATTCGCTCTGGGGTAAGGGACCAAAGATCAAGCTTGACAAAATGTACTCCTTTGCTTTACTCTGTCTTGTCTTAACCTCAGTTGGGGCCCAAGCAGATGCAATAGGGTTTTTTACCCAAAGTTCATAGCTTACATTAGGGTTCACTCTTGGTGTTGTACACTCTATGGGTTTGGACAAATGAATCCACCATTGTAGTATTTATATCATTCAGAGTAGTTACTGCCCTAAAAATCCTCTGTGCAGGTTTTTGTGTGGACACGAGTCTTCAACTCCTTTGGGTA